TCTTTATAGCTGTTAGTGGAAGCACAACCAAAAGAATGTTCAACAGCTTTGTTGGCCGGTAAACTGTTTTTCTGTTATGATTACTTTTGTTGTCGTCCTTTTTTTTTTTTGCTTTTTCCTCCACCATTTCCCCGCATTTTGTTCAGCATAATTTTCTTAGATCTCGAAACCTTTTCTGCCAAAAAAAAGAGAAAAAACACACCTGTCTACTTTTTTTTCGCCCAGAATAAAACTGTTCGAAAAAAAAAAAAAAGGATCAAAAAAGAGAGTAATAATAAGAAAAAAAATGCAACAATTTTTTATATGTTTGTTTCTTCATTTGTTTTTTTTTTTTTTTCTGTTTTCTTATAATTGTTCACCTGTGCTGATCCGTACATTCAGTGGATTATCGATAAATCTTTCATTTTTTACTTTTTTAAAATTTTTGTTTGTTCTTCAATATATGCATCTTTTTCTTTCGTCTAATTCAACTGATCTAAATTCATTTTTAGTATCACTTATCATCAACTATTATTTGGTTTTCACCTATCTCTTTCCAATTATTTGCAAAAGTTGTCCTTCATCTCCTTTTTTTTTTTCTTTTTTTAAAATTTATTTTTGTCTACTCTTCATTATCTACGCTCAGTTTTTATGAGATTTTAAACAATAACAATTAAAATGTCATCCAGAAAAAAAAAAAACTATTGTCAATAGGTTTGATACAGTCGGTGAAACATCGTTTTTTTTTTTTTTTTTTCGATATATGTGAACAATAATAGTGATGTATTTGATACTAAAAAAGTAAAATCATTTTGAATATAAATTGAAATGTATTATGCAGATGAATTAAATCGAGTATTTGTATCGCTTCGTCAAGCTTGTTGCCGTGATAATGGCCAACTGGGGACGCCGTGTAGGCTGAAGATGATGGAGATTGTCGAACTACGGGCAATGGGATGGAGACCCAACTTGGCACACAGTCAGTACTATCTGAACCGACTTGAACAGCAGTCGTCTCAGTATGGTTGGTGACAAAAGAACAGAACTAAAAAAAAATAAATATATATTTTTTTAATATATTTTAACTCAGTTAGGTAGCCAATGAAGGTTAGTTTTTTTCTCATCACTGATTTATTAGCCATTTTTGTAATAGGAATCCCTATCAAAAATTTGTGGCTAGTGGAGGAGGGCGATAAGAAGAAGAGGAGTGGGAAGAAAATGAGGTAAACAAGGTTTAGTTCGATCTATTCTTTTAATTTATTATTATTTCCGTTCTTCATTAAGTTAAACAGCCGAAAAAGGAATTACGAAGTCTTTGGCAACAGCTAAAAATTGAAGGATTTTTTATTGTTTTCTTTTAACTAAAATGCTTAATATATCTGCTAAAAGATTCTGCTTTTTTTTCCCCTGTCATCCTCTAATTTTCTGTTCCTTTTTAACAATCCCGTCTTTTTTTTGAAACTTTTCATTCTCTTCCGTTCATTTTTAAAGTCAAAAATTCTTTGATTAAACCGAAAAATTAGTTGATCAAAACGATTTTACTTCTGTTTTTTTTTTCTTCTAATCATCTTCTTTCCAGTCACCAGAAAAACTTCCAAGATTTAACGGTTCTGAAGAACTCTAATTGTTTTTTTTTTTTTGCTTATGAGATAATTTATTCAGTAAAGATCAAGCTGAAAAAAAATGAGTTTTTTAAAGCCACTTATTACAGAGGATGGAAGAACTGTTTTTCAACGCCTAATAATTACAATGCTGTTTTCTTTTTTTAGTTTCTTTCTTTGTTCAGCTAAAATTAATTAATTTCATATGTGTTGTTTGGTGTCATTAAGCAATTCGGAAAAAATATTGGTGAAAAAAAAACAGCTGCGAAATGATATTTTATTTGGGAAAAAAGACTTTTTTACCAGAAGGAAAGATGGTTTTATCTTTTTTTTTTTTTTT